TGGCTTAAGAATTATTCACTACATAAACAATCAGTGTACAAAGGCAAAAATCTGAGTACCTACATCAATACTTGACCAAATTGTTTAAAATGCGAAAAAATATTGTTGCGATTTTTTTTATAATTTAGTAAGTAAGAATTCGCACAGTACAGTACAGTAAATACTTTAAACGTTTTTCAGTACGAATTATTTAAGTTGCTAAAATAATTTATTTTTTATTTAGTACCTAAATAAATATTATTACATTTGAGAAGAATGTAAGCGTGCGGGTAGACTTTAAATAACATACATTATAAACGCTATATATTTAAATGTGACTGTGTAATTTACCGGAGACTAGAGTTTTTTTGCTGCAACGGTCTCCGGTTCTCTTCATTCACCATACGAAACACAGCAACATTAAGCTACTATTTTACGTTGGTATTCCGTGAGAAGGTGGTACAATCATAGTATATTTGCAGCATCGCTCTACCACATATAAAAACGAGATAAGATTTTTTAAATAATATTTAGTAATTTAAGTTTTGTTTATTTAAGATTTTACTACAACCTGTTGACAAAATTTATAAAACGTAGATAAGAGAGGTCATTTCACAACCAGTGCTGTGTACATGAGCCGTTTGACTGCGTCCATAATGGCCGTCAATTGGCGGGAAGATAGGCGTAAGAGCCCGTCAACAGCCAATGTCACCGAACAATGGAGCCGTAAACCGTTTTATGGTTTCGTTTGTATCCGCTCAATGGGAAACTCAACTGTGATGAGATTGCGGAATCCAACAGTAGATGTTGTAATGTGAATAAGCAAAATCGACTTTATTACTATAAGGAAATTACTGTAGTTAAGTTTTTATTTTTATAGGACAGGGTGACAAACGAGCACACAGTCCACCTGATGGTAAGTGGTTGCTGTGGCCCGTAGATATCTACATCTATCCTCGATTACAAATCAAAATGCAGATGCGTTGTCATCCATGAGGACTATGATGGAATGCCTCGTTTCCAGTAAAAAGGTACGTAAAGGTAGTACTAACGTCACAAGCTTAAATTTTTTTATGAGCTTTGTGTCTATGATGATGCACCTAATAAATACATTTAATAAACATAGAGATTTTTTTATAGAATAAGGGTGACAAACGAGCACACAGTCCACCTGATAGTAACTGGATGCTGTGGCCCATAGGCATCTACATCTCAATTAAGAATCAAAATGCAGATGCGTTGTCATCCTTAAAGACTGAGATGGAATGCCTCGTTTCCATTTAAAAAAGGGTCTCCGGATCTCTACACTCACCATATGAAACACAGCAGCACCAAGCCACTATTTCACGCCGGCATTCTGTGAGAGTGTGGTCCTTCCCCGTTCGAAACGACCCATTCGTGTTACAACTATACTACTAATATAACTGCAGCATGGCTGTACCACGTAAGTATAAGCTTAATAGTAAAGAAATAAAATAAGCAATGTTCCCGAATGTAGAACTTTTTATTTGATGATGATGATTGATGATATAATGTAACATTTGTCTCATCCACATATTTCCCAAAGGAACATTGTTCAGTCCTTCAAGTTAGACTAGAAAAATATATGAGTAGGCTTTTGCCTGCCCCATAGACCTCAGAAATGAGGAGGCCTGTGCTCAGAAATGGGACTATTGTATATTATGTAATTTTATTTGTATTATTAATTTTCTTCGATATTCTATAATTTTTTAACTCTCGATCGTCGTTCGATTTCATTACTTTTTTCACCAAGTTTGTATTGACTCGCTTTGATGTAGGTATGTCTGTTTGGGTCAAATTTAGAAATTGTTATTAAAGTGGCTTCCTGATGAGTTAAACTTGAAATTTTAAACATAGTTCAGAATCGGAGGACAATGTAAGAATATAAAAAAGTTGCACTTATATCAAAAAAATATAGGTACTTTTACATAATTTTAAAAAATTTCACATGTTTTTAGTTTCACGAAGTGTTTTCATGGCGCTAGTGAAGAATATTGTAATTTTTTACCCTGTACCAATCTGTAAGCTTGTGGCAATGTCTTTAGGGTAAAAAGGAGTTCCTTACAAAAAAATGTTATAGTACCTACGTGATGTTATGTGAACGTGACATTATAAGCTAAAATATAAAAGCAGCTCGCAATTCTTGATTAACATATATTTTATATATATATATATATATATATATATATATATATATATATATATATATATATATATATATAACAAGGAAAACAATATTGTAAAGACGTTGATGTAAACATAGATCGGTTTCTTGGTAAATCGGTGTAACGAATGGCTGCGAACTCCGGGAACTGTCTCTAGACGTGACGAACAAGTTGCGAAGCTCTAGCCGTCGCAAATTTCAATCAATTTCACGTAATAAATACCATGAGATTTGCCCAATATCGTTGGTGTTTATAAATATAAAACGACTATCGGAAAGATTTAGTATTGACATTCTAATGTTGAACTCGGTTGTTCGAGTTGTAAGCCTAACAAATACATAGTTGGATTGTAGAAAAATCGATCATATTAACATGTCGTGTGATGCGATGTGTGGTTAGTAACCGGTTCTGAAACTGATAAAAGTTTACCTACAGTTACGTTTACTCCAATGCATGTCAATACTATGCCACAGTAAGAGTTGTATTGCGACTTTGCTATGCAGCAAAATGTAGGGTCAGATTTGCAAACAGCAGCCGCCGCTGTAAGTTCTTTTATCTCAACTGCATATTATAATATGTCTTCTCTTTTAAAAATCTCTTTCTGATCTTTTGGAAATCCATGCTTGAAACATGACGTTACTATCATGATAATTATGCCTAATAAAAATTATACATAAGTATAAATGACTAGACATGACTGATATAAAGGTGACGGTGATTTTTAAAAAGATAATGAATAACGAGATGATTAACCACTACCAGTCTAGATATACAGTAAAAGCTCCTTATTCGCGCTTCCTTTATTCACGTTTTTACTATTCTCGGATTTAAAAAATGCGACCCAATTCCTATATTCGCGGCTAAAGATTTTTTTATTCGCGGATCTATCGGAAACGTGACATTTAATTTGAAAAATCTAGTAAAGGTTTAAGAATAACAAAAATGAGCTTTGTAATTTATTTATGAAAATTGATCCGTTTGTGCAACGAAGTTTTATTTTTAAGAGGCAAACTGCTAATGCCACTGCTGTATTTTTTTTTAAAAAGAATATCAACAATGCTATAAACATTACTAATATTCCCCTTTACCACTCGTGGTACGCATAAATTGCTGGTGTTACGAGTGGTTCACGCCAGTAGTCGAATGGTGGATTCGAACCCACGACCTTTTTGAGTTCGCGGTCCGCGCCCTGCCATTACGCTACTGTCGCTTAATATATTGCTGTATATCAGTCTTTATTGAAGGAGGTTTTAAAAATTGCCAAGCAAGGAAAAAATTACAAAATTCTTTAAACCTTTACCTAAGCCTAATTAATAAATATGGTTAAAACTTTAATTAAATTGATTTTTATATACCTATTTGTTTTTATTTTGTCACCTAGGAACGTATCCCCTATAATTTACCATCCTATATTCACGGTTTCTGTATTCGCGGCATATTTACGAAATATATACCCCGCGAATAAAGAGCTTTTACTGTACTTAATATGGATAGTTATTCCGCAATCTGACGCAACTGTATGTTCATTAATCGATTCTTACATCACCCGCGGGACGGGATGGGATGATAGATTTCCTCGCAATGCCATCGCACGGAAAAATTCAGCGAATTTTGCTCAACCTTACTCTTCCTACTTCAAATTTAAAGAATGTCAATGCCCACAACGCTATTCGAACAATTTTGGCAGCCATACAATGTCATTAATATTACCCACTATTTTCGTTTGGAATTCACGTGTGTACAAGCGAAAAATATATTTCGCTTTAATACACAATGTACGGTATTTTTTAAGCATCTCTTAACAATTTTATACATGTAAATATTTTTTTTTAAATTTGGAAGAGTTACATTACCATCATCATCCGCCCTTCACAAGTTCTCTGTTGAACATAGGCCTCCCCCAAGGAATGCCAAAAAGCTCGGTCCTGAGCACAGAACACTTAATATTAGGTGTTCTGTGGTCCTGAGCCACTTGCTTCCACCGACTCCCTGCATTTCTTACCAGGTCGTCACTCCATCTAGAAGGAGGTCACCCTAGTAAGGTGACCCGCTATTCCTGGCTACATGTGGAAGAGTTACATATATTGTTTAATAAGGAATGACGATACATTCACTAAAACTAAATGATATATTACTTTGAATAAATTTTTCGGTACGGTACGCCACCTGCTGTACGTTAATTGTACTACTTATTCCTATAACCTTCGCGCAAGTGCAAACCATAATTTGACCAAATTTTAACGCAACCTGATGAACGGTAAGATAGCGCATTAAGTACGAACAGCAAAATTAATTTTCAAATATCAGATTTAGATAGTTTTGAATAGATCACTTAAGTTATTAAGCAACATTTTTTTACCACAACTTTAAATGCTATCTTTGAATAATGTATCATTGATGACCTTTTCTATTTTTTCAATTATGCACGGAGCTCGTTTATATTATGCGAAAAACAAAGCAATCAAATCTTAATAAACAACAAAAGTTGGAATCATGAAATATATGAAATAAGGATTTTTACGTGGTAGAGCCATGCTGCAGCGTGCAGCTATATCGTGGTTGTAGCACGAATGGGTCGGCTCTACCGGGGAAGGACCACGCTCTCAGAGAGTACCAGCGTAAAATAGTAGCTTAATACTTGCTTGTTTCGTATGGTGAGTATAGAGAACCGGAGACCCTTATTACTGAAAACGAGGCATTCCATTTCAGGGGTGATAACGCATCTGCATTTTCATTCTTAATTGAATATAAATGTAGATGTTTACGAGCATCCACTTACAATCCTGTGGACTGTGTGTTCGTTTGTTACCCTTATTGTATAAAAAAGGACAAAACCTCTAATTCCTGCACCCACATACATATTATGCATTTAAATAAATCTTTAGAATTTGATCATCTATAAGCTCTGAATGGTAGAAATAATATACCTACTGGTTACGAAATAGTTCCAACCAGAAACCAACAAGGAATGTACAGCTGAAGGTTGACGGACTTCTAGGTAGAAAAGAAACTCCTAGCATCTAGTACATTAATTAAAAAAGAAAATACTTAGACCAACGAAGGACAATGCCGTCAAAAGTGCTAGACGCTTCATCGTTTACCAAGGGTAAATATTAAGACAGTCGAGTCGTGTTAAAAAATATTATACTAAACATTACATACTAAAACTATGGTAAGGTAAAAGATTCTTCTTGTCTTGTCTACTACTAGGCGGTTCTGATACTAGGCGCCACCTACCGGGTCCAGCTATGCCTATAACTTTCGCGGAAATGCAAGCAATAAGTTGAAAAAGTTTGACCGCAATCTGATGAACGGTATGGCAGCGCACAAAATACGAACAAACAAAATTTTTTATATATTAGAAGATAAATAAACTTCACAATTCCTACGGGACGTAACGAAAGTTATATAATATTATATTTAGAAAGAAAACCTTCCAAGAGAAATCTTTCACGTCGAGTGGAGGTATTAAATAAAATATTCTATGACAATAAAGAATGTACGAGTATTGTGTGTGTATATTTAACATTCAACAATAATCATTTTAAAGAATTTATTTATAACTGACATTCGCCCCGGCTTCGCGCGGCTGATTTCTGGATCTCGACAACAGCGCCATCTACCTACCGGATCCAATGGTGAATCTAAAGTTTAGATTCTAAACCATTCAGGGACTCACTCAAACCACACACAACATATCATCAAAATCTGTCGAGCTATTTTCGAATTTTTGCGAGACTAACGACGAGCAATTGATTTTTATTATATAGAAATAAACTAATTATATAACAAACAATTAATAATAGTTACAATATATGATAATAGATGACATTTAAATATGAATATTTTAATATATGTTGCAGAAGTGAATGGAAGAGTCGGAAAGGGACGTCCTAGGCGGAAGTTTGTCGACCAAATTGGCGATATACTAAAAATGGGCCAAATTAAGAGTACCCTTAACCGACGAGCATGTATGCGTAGGTATATGGATGTGGAAGAGGCGAGAAAGGTATGTCAGGATCGTGCTAAATGGAAGTCTGTAGTCTCTGCCTACCCCTCTGGGTGACAGGCGTGAGTGTTTATGTATATGTATGTATGTATTTAAATATGAGTAAGCTAACTGAAGCAAATAACTTATAAGTAGGCGGCAATAAAGGCACATCTCCCGTTAACGACAAAACTTGTGACTCGAGAAAAGGGTACCGCGTACAAGGGTACCCGGGAACAACTGAAATGGACCAGAACAATACGGTTGAAATGGATCGCTTTGAGTCCCTCATAGAGCCTTACTACAATACATACATAATACACGCAACTAGTGTGGAGAGCACTAAGTTTGTGTAGAGGGCAAATCTTTGTTTCAGTTAGCTAGCATTAAATTACAAAAAAAGGGAAAATGTCGAGATGTTCAGGAGTTTCCTTAGTGAAACGGACGTATTTGATTAAACAAACACTTTTTTGTTTAAACACACTACCCGCTATACTACTCCTCACTAGGATTTCCTCCAGTATCATGGCGACAGTCAACATACATAAATATCACAAGGACAAATATCCAGACCCAGAACAATTATTTGTAGCCAATACTTATTCTATGCGGGATTCAAACCTTAGCGCTGCAATTCATTCCTAAGCCACTGCTTCACAGAGCCATCAAAACGTTCAAACTTTTGGACTATACGAATAATACACAATATTATACTTTTCTTGCCGAAAATAGCAAAAATATTTTGTATTCGACTAAAACAAAACCCACATATTCTATTAATTCCCATTTCCCATACAGATTTCCACAAATTAAGATGACTGCACAAATTTTTCTTGTAAATAACATTTCATACTTTGACATAAACCATTGCGGTCCCCAGCGGTCTCATTTAAAAGAACGTTATCAATTTTAAAGGAAATGAAAGAGAAGTGAGAAAGTGCACTTAGGTTTTATTCAAAGAAAAATAATAATTTTACTTTGTAAAATTTTTCAACGCTAATTCACCTTAAAAATTAAATTTAAACGGCGGTGTTTTCAAAACAAAATATGTACCTACCTACCTACTGTTATAATTCTACACTTTCCGTGTCATGCAACACCATGCTTTTACGGCGATTAAATTACTATGGCAATTTCGAAGAGTATAAAGTCAGGGCGCTCGTGAAGTATTTAGCGGGATTAAAAAAGGTCGACGAACACAACACGACAGAGCCGTCGCATGGCGAAGCAAGGAAGCTTTTTAAAAGAAGACAAGAGTTAGAAATTTGAAAAATACGCGTATATTTTTCGTGATAAAAGACGCTAAGTAGGTAACTCAGTGAACAGAAACTCATTTCTGAAGCCTGTTTATATACCTTACCTTATATTACCGTACCTTCTTTATATAAATAACGCATTTTAATGGTATTCTATTCATGCTTGTCAACGCTCTTAGCCACATTAAGTGTTTGACAGTACCTACCTACCATTTACCTTTCAGAACAAATTGCTAGTTCGATTCGCACGAGACAAGTATTTTATAACCTACCGATTATTTTTCCAGAATCCATGTGCAATTATGTATGTAAAACGCCATAATGATATCTACGGTTTTTCGAAAATATGTTCACACAGTTACAATAAACAATAATAATAATTACAAATCAGGTAAAAGTACGATGGATAAAATTACTTTTACGTATTTTATCGCGTTTACGTTAACATCTTTTTAAATCCTAACGTTTTGAATGCTTTGCAATAACCATGTACACAAGGGAACTTCCTTCAGCTTTCGATTATTAATTTGTCTTGCTGTGGTAATGCTTGGGTTTCAATTTAAATTTATTAATTACATATTACCCAGCCGCCTTCTCAATTGAAATTAAGAAGTTTTTTTATTATTTCAATAGCCTCACAAATCATCCCCTGAAGGAATCGACGTTCTTTTGCGAGAATCTGTCGTCTATCAATTTTGATGTAATAGCGTTTTCCGTGTAAGATGTGATCACAGACTGCAGACTTCCGGAGGAGTGACTCCTTTCGGGAGAACTGCTTAAAGATATTAAAAATGTGTCAAATTAAATGCCATAAAACCAGAGTAATTAGTTTTATTCAGTGTATGTCCGGTATGGATAAAAATTACGAAAAATTAATTTTTCTAAAAAAGCCTTCAATACTTTTTCAAATTGAGTATTTTTTTTAACAAATTATTAGATAATTATAGATTTTTTATTTAATAACATTACAGGAAAAAAACAATTCATTGTAATTTCAAGTACAGAAAAATAACAATTTGATTTAATTTTTAATACAAAAACAATACCAATTTAGTTTTAAGTACAGAAACAAGTATGTTCTATTTGTCTTTTAAAAATCTATATGCGTGTAGTTTAACAAACTTTATTCAAGAATTAAGTTTTTTTTTGTTATGCAAAGGGAGAGACTTAAATTTTTTTTAAAGTTTATTAAGAATAATATTATTAATATTTTATTTTGTTGTGTCACTACTCTTCATTACGTTAGAAAAAGTTAAAAAGTAGAATTAAAATATTAAGTACTTAGGTTTTTGTTTAGTTTTAAATAGCTACCTGAGATACTTTTTTTTATCAAAGTTCCTATGTCCAGAATATATATATATATATATATATATATATATATATATATATATATATATATATATATATATATATGTACAGAATAATTAACATTAAAACATGTGAGACAAATTTTTTAATAAAAGTTATGTATGACTAATCGGTAAATCTCTAGTAAAAGGCGATCATAGTAAGTGCCTGAAAAACTTATTGCTTCCGATTAAATGGCGGTATAATCATCCCACCAAATACAAAATAACCAGACCGGCAACGAAGAGGTGCCAGACCTCTGGTACTGAAATCGTTAATCCGAAGCGTGACGAGTAAGGAGAATTCTTCCTATAACTGGAGAGACTCGATGTCCAGCTGTGATCGTCTATGGGCTGATGTATGTATCAACAAAACAAGTACGGAAGTTTTCTAACAAGGTCTTAAAAATGATGGTTGATGAATCAAACGTTTGGTAAGTATATCATGAAGCATATAATAAATAGCGTAAACAGGAGATTAATAGTGAACACGCTACTCGAGTGTTTTGTCTAAACCAAACAATAAACGCAAGAACAATGGCAATAACCTTTCATAACAACATCAATAGGGGAGAAAAGCTTTTTTTATACAAGTGTAGAGATTAACAATTACACAGACCACATCTGTACTACCTACATGCGCTATCTCCTTGAAGACTATGACAAAAACAGAATGGCTAGATACCAACAAAAAGTTTTATAGATATAACAATAATTCTGTTGCAAAAGTGAAAATAAAAAGTAAACCTCGGATATTTCTGAGCGTAAGAAAATTCTGCTCGTAAATAGCAGTAAAAATTTTAAAACATTTTTTATAATATAAGTGCTCACAAAGAGTAACCGTTTTACTCAGAATACGTGCGTAACTATAAACTCTCTACACATCAAAATATAATTTAGCAGATATTTGGAGATGAACTGCAAAAGGGAAGATCAAATACAATCAGTCAACACACCACGCCCCTATTATGAGTTTACACAATGATGTACTCGATTCAATTACAGATCAATGATTACAATGTGTTCTGAATGAAGCGACAGACTAAACAATAGCGTTCCTTCACCTCCGTCAGCAGACACAGAGAATAAATATTTCAGAAAGGTCATGTCAGAGATATTTTGTGGCAAGTTGACAGTGGTGCATCAACTATAATACCTTAATTAGTGTAAATGTTTTTATTTCTAATATTCCTATTCTCGTAGTCAATAATACGGAAAAACTTTTATTTCGTTAAAACTAATATGTCCTAATTTATATCTTACAGT